ATATAATTGTTTCTGCAATGATTTTCCAATAATTAATTACCCAAAACGTCAACATAGTTTCCGGAAAATGTATCGTACTGTCGTTGGAAAGGAAGACAAGCCGGTCCCACTTGTGCATTGAAGTCTATAACTCTCTCTGTGGTAATAATTGCAATATCGTTATCATAACTCGTCGGAGGATTCCAATAAGGATGCAAGACGATGCGAGCGATTGGATGCAAAACTGTGGCAGTCGTTTCATCCCCTAAACCAAAGAAAATCACAAAACCTATTAATCTCAGCGATAAACTCGCCATTTTCTTTTACAAAAATTACCCTGAATTAAGGAAAAAAAAATCTCCGGAATTTCAGACAATCCCAAATATTCGGAGAATAAAAATGCGTATTTCGCAAGGAAAACAAAATTTTTTTTGCCTTTGAGATATTTTCCGCCGAATTATTTCAGCTTTCATTTTCAGAAAATATTCAGGGGAAAATAGGGATGAGTGATTATTTGTTTGGGCTTTACCTCTCCGAATATCGTGTTCTCCAACGAGAATTCCTATATCAGCAGGAGTCACGTTTACTCCAATGCAATGAGCTGCAGTGAGAACTTGACGATTATTGATAATAGTGGCACCACAGTGGACTATTCTCAATTCGTAATCGATAATTCCAGCCATCATGGGGTATTCATTAATTCCAGTTGTCTCTCCTCCCACTATTCTAGTCTACAAAGCGATCTCATCATTAAAAACAAATTTTATTGGATGGATATTAAAAAAAATATTGGAAGTCCAAACCGTTAAAAAAATTAAATGAAATAATTTATGTCAGTTCAAGTGAGATGAATAAATAATTGAAAAATCATTTAAAAAAAAAATATTCTTTCACTAATTTTCAGGAATTTGAATAAATTTGATTGAAACGACATTCAATGACATTTGGAAAATCCAATTGTTAATTTTAAATTAATGTTTATCAATGTTTTTAAATGTTCGGTGTGGATGGATTTTTGGATTATTTTTGCTGTGCGGTGGTGGCGTAATTGAGACTTACTGGATTTTTCCACCCACAACGACAGGAATCTTTCTGCTCGGGGACTGTCTGAACGACACAGAAAAATCTTCCTCCAGGAGATGTTGGGTCACTCCTCAGGACTACCGTTATTTCATTGTTGTTTGATACCAGGTCCAGAGAACCAGTTCCGCAATATCGGTGAACATCATTCCTACCAGTTTGAATTAAGACAGCATCCAGTGAACATCTATTAGGACTCTACACATCAATGATAAATATTGAAATATTCCTCCCGTAATTATTGATATAAAATATTTCGCAATGGATTGACGCATCGGATTTAAATTGTTATTTTTACAGATTTATGATTTTTACCTTTTTTATGGAAGAAAGGAATCGAAAAATCGGTTCAATTAATTTTCAGATTTACCTGGAGTTGAAAATCTACTGACCCCTGGAAATTTATGAAAACCAATCAATTTACCTTAGGAATAATGAATGGCTCGCATTTAATTTGTAGTGACTGATTGCTCTTCGCCGTCCATCTGCAGGAAATCCCAGGGGGATAATTTCTATTCTCGGTGTACCCTGGGTTGAAGATGTAGGAGGATTTTCCTGGGATGACGGACTCTTCATAATCACAACTTCCATACTGAGCCTCATTGCTCCCAACGAGCCCCAAAAGGAACACCAGAGGACCAAAAAAACCTGCAACAGAGAAAATTCAATTCCCGAATTTACCAGAATTTTTCTATCGCGTCGCATTATTTTTCCATTGAAAATTGTCGTAATGAGTGTAATTTTCTGATAGTGTTATCACGTAGCTTTCATTTCTGTTTTTTCAATTTTATAAAAAACTTACTCCCCAGCATTATTGGTAATTAGAGAAGATCTCGATGGTCCGTTGACTTCCTTTAGTGATAGCGAACTAAATCCGCTCGTTCATTTGACAAGTGCTCTATATAAGCGGGAAGCGCATACTACTGATAACACCTGTGTATATTTTACACTCGTACATTTTGTTTTCTTGGTTTTTTTTTATCGCTCTTTTCTTCGGGCTCAAGTGATCATTTTTTATGGCGACAGGTGTGCTAAAAAAATTATTTTCGGCAATACTTCGTGGAGTTGGCGATAATTGCTCAGTGATTTTTCAATTGATTGAAATTTTTTGCGAATTCGGTGGATCTTGGTGCGCTATCGATACTCGAATTCTTATCGAAAATTTTTTTAGTTTACGGCGGTGGGTTTAATGGCCATTTTATCTGGACGTCGTTCGCGATTTTTGAAGAATTATTACGAACGTTCACGAGTAATGAATATGGAGTGGTAGAACTGTCGGAATATCTGTGAATGTTATAGATTCTGTAATTGATGTGAATAATTTATGGCATGGCGGGTGAACGAACGCACGTGTTTGCGGAATTTTTTAAGTCGAGGTAATGAAGATCTATTTGTTTATGTGGATATATATAAATATATATATTTTTATGAAGAGTTGTTTGATATTTTGTAAATTTTGACAACGCTGGAAGAATTTCTAATTCTCTGAAGAAGATATTGCGAACGATTTTTATTCTATAATCAAGCCCCTGCATACAGCTAATTCTTCGCGATAACGCGATAAGAAAATCCCGATTTTATCTCGTGATTAAACAAAAAAAAATGTAATAATGTATTGAGTGACGCTTTATAATTTCAGATTTCTTCACTTTTGGATGATTAAAATAAATTTGTACATGGTTTCATTTATTATCGTTTATGTCAGTCAGTTTTAAACGTTTAAATTGTTGAGGACAAAGAAGAGGCTGGCGCCTCTCTGGGAATCCCCTGACACTAGAGTCGCCATGGAAACCAAATGCCAACACTCCCCTAACCTTCCTGAGGAAGTCACATCTGTTTACAGTTGAATTATTCATAAATAAACTGAACGGTACTGTAAAATCTCTCAACGAATGAAATATGTTAATTAAAAATCGGATTGTGATGTGATTAGTGCAATTGGTGGTCAGTGATGATGTCGTACTTCTATGGAACTCCGATTAACAGTTTGGAGCAGAGTACTAGCTCTAAAAGTGATAAGAAAAAGGTACGTGGAATAATAATTCAGAATAAACAATTTCGGTACTAGTGAGCACTGAAATTTCAGGAAATCTAGCCATTAAAAAATGGAATTTCATTATTTTTATATTCATATTACCTGGAATTTATTACAAATCTTTCTTTTCAGACAATTGGAAATTTATTTGTTGTCATAATTTGGAACTCGTGTTATTTATGCATTTTTTTTTGACAGCATAAACGCAGAGTTGAGAAAGGGTATGAGCTAGAACCAGTTCATGGATCTCGTCATCGACGTAAACATTCTTCGAGGAGTCGATGCACGTTGAAATCGAAAGGTGCTGTCAAACTCATTAGTGATAATGAGAAAATGATAGCTAAATTGCAGTCAACTCCAGAATCAGGTGCACCACTGTTCCTTCAATAATACAATAGCCAGTCATATGATTTTTTAAATATTCGAAATATATTCACGAATTGTCTATTTTTATTATAAATATTAAGAGAATCCTTAACCGGTAACTCTCTGAAATATACTGAGAGATTTCAGAATTTCCTAGAATTTTTTGAATGAAAATAAAAATACTTTTTCTAGTAAAGTACATACAGCTGTATTGATAAAATGATTACGTAGTTTACGTCTATAATTCCTATTTTTCAAACTCAAAGTGCTCGTGCTCCAAAAACCTATTAATTCCATGAATTCATGTATCGATTAATCTATCAATTCAAATGTTGAATGTCCCCAGGTTTCATGGATGAACTAAGTGAAAAGGAGAATCAGCTCTCGAAATGTAAATCGAGGTATTTAAAATTAGAGAAATCATTCCAAACAATTGAGCTGGAGAATGCAAATCTGCAGGAAGCTCTAGCGAAGAATGAAAAAGACTATAACAAGCTGCAGAGTCATTATGAGGAGTTGATGAAACAGGTGCAGTGCCTCGGCAACGAGAGGACGACTCTGGTGAACGGTTACAAAAAAATCAAATCAGAGAACAATCAGATGGATGAGGATATTTCCCTTCTGAAGATGTTGATTTACAAGCTGAATGTGGAGTTGGAGAGGTATCAGGATAGACTAAGATCTAGTCAGGTCCAGGATGACTCCAGGAGCTCGAGGGTAGAGGATAGTGATCCAGGGTCCGAGAGTAGAAGAGTGGCTGAGGCCTGGGGGCGTGTCAACACTCATGTTTTGGCACCTCTGCTCGAGGCTTATCAGGAGAACCTGCGGGAAAAGGATGAACTCATCACTCAGTACAGACACGAAATGGACGAGTTCAGTGGCAGGTGCAAAGAAATTGTGGGGGAGAATGAGATTTTGAGAAAGGAGATCGAGCATTACAAGGCAGAAATCGATAAATTGGCGTTGGACATGAAGACAATCGAGGAGAACGCCTCCACGATAAAAGAGGAGAATGATATTCTGACGAAACAGGCATCCCTTCAGAAGCAGAAACTCCACGAGATCCACTCGATCTACGAGAAAAAAGTTGAATCAATGTCCCAGGATAACAATCAGTTGCATGCAACTTATATTGCTTGTAAAACAGAATTGAGTAATGTTCAGGGAAAATATGAGATACTGAACGAGGCATTTGAGAAATTGAAGAAAAATTCGGAGAAGACAATGCCAGTGTCTGTTCATAGTGAGGCCATAGAGGAATGCAAAAGGCTCTTCGAGGAGTTGAAGAGTCAGTACGAGACAGAGAAGAGAAAATTGTTGGGACAGTTGAAGAGGTTCGAGGAGACAACTCCAGATAATGAGAAAATGCTGGCAGTAGTGACAGCTGAGAGGGATCAGTTGAAACTATTGGCTAGAAATCTCGAGAAAAATTTGAAACGAAGTCAGTACAAATTGGAGAGTATCCAGAGCAGTGTGTGCTCCATTCAAGTGTCCAGGGACTCGTTTAAGAGACAATTAGCGAAAACCACAGCTTATTGCGATGAACTCGTGGGAGAGCAGGAGAGATTGGTGTCGGAGAGGAACGAACTCTTGTACCTTTTGCAAGAGCGGGAGAAGGAGAACAAGAATATTCAGATCATGGGGGATAATATTGCCCAGCGGATGAACACTTTGAAGAGTCAATTGAAAATTGTTCAGAAAGGGGCGAAGGAGCAATTGGACACTGTCGAGAAGCAGATGAAATCTCAGGAGGTGGGAGTGGGTAGGATAAAATCGGATTATCATCAGGAGTTGCACAGGCTCAAGCAGCTGTTGAAACAGAAGGAGGACGTCATCGGTAAATTACAGCGTGAGAAGTCTGCGACACAGAATAATCTGGAGCTCGTCTGGAAGACGGCAACCAGTGAGGATAAAAGGGTTAAGGATGCTCTCAAAAATAAAAAAACATGATAATTATTAATTATACCTTTATGAAAAATATAGTGGAAAAATTTGGCACTTTTTTAGAGAATGAATGTTTATCGGAGAGTCCGAAGAGTTTGGAGAGTGAGAATTTTGGGGAATAGTTGTTGAGTCTAGTCGTACACACTAGTCATGTAAAAATGTAAATGTAAAAGACGATAATTCCTAGTCACGTGAATAAAAATTGGATAATCCATGAATATATTATTTGTGATCTCATTTCGGTGGAACTTGTTTGTTCAATTGGATCAGTTATAGAATGGAAATCGGAAATGTGGAATTGATCATTAGGTTGAAGGGTGTTTACAGATATTCTAAGGTCTCGACACCTGTTTTATTTAGCTGGTGACATCAACGAACACAAGTGGCACCGAAGGTCTATCTCATTGAAGCAGGTGATGCCAAAGGCGAATTCTATTCTCCTTAATGATGTCACGTCCATCTAATTTCCGTAACTGAAGTGTCTGATTTTTTATTACTTATATAATCTCAATGGATGGGAGAAGACGATAAATTTCTGCGACCAATATGAAAGAAAAAATTCCAAGTTCCATTATTTATCTGAAACGACAAGTTTTTTGTCAATGTTAAGATGTGAATTTGATACGTGGGAATGGAAAATGCACTCATTTGTATTTACAACGAGTCAGGCTACATAAAAACCATGTATTTGTGTCACCGAGTTTTTTCAAGGTTGAAATTCCGTATCTCTTTTGCATTATGAGATAGGAATTTCACTGCAAAGGACTCACCACCGAGTTTTAATATTTCCATCAAATAACATTTATACAATAAAACAATATCGACCGGAAATTAATATGCAATAATATCTCCAATATAATTTAAAACCACGGATATTTATATAATAAAAAAATATTTACCGTACGTCTTTATTTTCTAGAAAATTTAAATCAACCCCTCGAGTTACCGTGCATTGCACTGGATTTCTATTTTGTCCCCAAGAAATTCATTTTAATCGGTGAGAAAATTGAATTTAAAATTTTAGCTGCGTGAAACGGGCTGCGCGCGGTGTGGAAGCGGTGGGGAGGATCGGGTGAAGTCGGTGGCGCTCGGGTCAAAGCCAAAATGTCGTGTACGTGAGGCGCGTCGTTCACGACCGGGTCGTCGTAGGTGACGTAAAAACACAAGGACGATAACCGATAAACCTATTCCACATCCACAAATCATTCCTCCATTAAACAAACCCCAGTGCACCCTGTAAATAGTTGACCCGAGTGCTTCAAGTGGCAAAGTCTAGTGTGTCAAAAAAAAACTAAACAAAAATAACTCGAATATCGGAAGCCGGTGGTCATTGATTTTTCTCTCGTACGTGCGCTGCAGTGTCAGATGATCAGTTAAAACGTCACTTTTCTCCATTCAATATTTATCCAGTGTTTAATATCAATTTATGACTGAAGTCAGTGAATATTACCGTTGGAGAGGGTTCAATCGCCTGTGCCACGTAAGTTACAACAAACAATGGAAATAATTTTGAGTATTCATTTGCCCAGCCCCTTTGTTATTGTCGATCCTCACTTGTTTACTAGCTGCCAAATGGTAAACACATCAATTTCGGCCACTGGCTATTCCCCAGTCCTTTGCCAATATTCAATTATTCGATCTATTTGTTGCCGTTGGGAGTTGATCCCGATTTAGAAGGGAAAATCGTTATTCCCGGAGGCATCACGATTTCTCCATTTTTTTTCGACGGTTATCATTTATCGAGGAAGGTGTTGTCGAGACATTTCTGATGATTTTCTATGATCGATAAACGATTTCGGTAATTCCTTGATTAATTAAAAAAAAACATTATTCATTTTTCGGGATTTTTGGGATGACCCGATTTTTTTTATGGTTTCTAATGAGTTTCTGGGATGTTTCATAAATTCTTTTTCCATTTTTATTCAGCAGCTCAACGATTTTTTACGTGAAAAATTTCTCGGTTTGAACGGTTTAAGTCGATTCTAGGTTATAAATCCGCGTGGTTTCGCGGTTCGGGGTCATTACATAAAGTGTGATATCATTCAGCAGTAAATAGTGAATCGATAAGAGTGACAGAACGCGTCGTAATAGCGAGATAATCCGAATTTTCGGGGAATTCTCGTTCGAAGCATGTGTCATTGTTTACATTTGGGAAAGCTGTTCCCTTCGAATTGGGAGAGTTCAGGCCACGAGAATATTTTTTCCTTGGAGCAATCGTGAATAATATTGAATTAATTTTTTATTTTTAAAACACCATTTATCTTCCGCGTTGAGTATTTTTTGCACATGCCTTTGCTTGTTCGGAAAGTGCATAGGCAATTTGCGTTGCTGTACGAGATAATGAGAGAATAAAAATTGTCTGGTTCAGTCTTGTTCCCGGAAATGCTGTCGATTACGTCACACTTCTCTGGGAAATCGACCCACGCGGGGATTAATCCGTGCAATTCTAGGCCGTTTGTCTGGTCTTTCGTCTAGCCCTCGGTTTTGATAAAATTCTGGGTCTTGAAAGAAAAAAAATGATGAGACGATTTGAAATAGCTCTACCCTCTGGTCTCTTGAATTTCCCAACTCAATTATACGAGGAATAATGAGTTATAATATTTTATTACTTTACTATCAATTCCATGATGACTTTTTAATGGCGCATTCCAGTCAAATGACAAAAAAAGACATTTTTTCGTTTCTTCTTAACTTCAGCTGACTTTATCATTCTGTTAGTCGTGCCTCATCATTCCCAGAAGCCACAAGAGTAGCAATTTTTTGAATAAGAGCCGCAACAAAGCCCTCATCTTAACTTTTCATTCCTCTCACGTACCACCCGAAAGTTCAAACGGTTGAGTGCATTGTAGAATGTTTTATTTCGGTCTCAGCACGTGCTATTATTGCGTTCCCTGAAAATTGTGTTTGAATTGCCACTTTGGAGCCCCTTGATTCGACGAAAAACATGTGTAAATTCGGTAACGAGTGATTAACCTTTCGAATGCCAACAATTTCATCCAATACTTGGGTGATTATTTATTATTTCTCGATGAAAATAAATTTTCCTTGAAAAATGAAAAATCAGATTGAAATGATACCATCCCTAGAGAATAATTCATTTCAGTCAATAGAATTTTTTAACTCGCCTACATTTTTCATAAATAATTCAATATTAATTAAATTTTGCGATCCAGATATTTTTTTTCAATTCAAATAATTTTTTCATTACTAAATACCGATTTATCTCAAAGCCATTCGCATCTAAGACGAAGTTCGAAGAGATCTTTTTTGTCGGAAATTTAATCCTCCACAAAAAAGTAATTTACCATTTTTCCCTTACATCCACTATTCTCCAGATAAACCACGAATTACGAATAATTGTCAACTCTCGTTATCTTATTTATCTCCAGGCCCCTAAATTGCCCACCTAAAAAAAAATCACGTTTCATCAATAATCCTCGATTCAAGTATAAAGAAGATTTTTCCATTAATTCCTCTTTTTACCTCTGAAAAAAAAACTGGAAATTGCAGATTTTTCTCAGGGATTATTCCCAACAGATAGCCATAAACTTCAATCCAAATAAAATAAAACTGAAAGCAGTCTTCCTGCTCTTCATCGCAATAAATCTCATTGAGCCAGAAGTTGCCCCGACGACATTATCCTCCACCTTGTGCAAACCGTAAAAACAACATAACTAATCATTCATGAATATTGATACCACCAGGTGACAGAGCGGCCGTGAAGTCCCCAGGATCAGGCAAAAAAATTAATTTTTTGTCGATAAAAACCTGCAAACAAATCGGAGGTTTCCTCATTAGCACCAGAGACCCACTGACTTGATGGGAGTGACGAGTGATAACCTGGGTGTGATGGTGGGGGATCGTAAAAGCGGGGTGGGATCCGATGTGAGCGCCACACCCGGTGACACCCGAACCAATCCGGAGCACCGATAAACAAACGAACGGCGTCTTCAACAGGACACGGACCTTCACGCGTTCCCCTTCAATAATATAATAGCAATTCTCTAAAATAAACATCGCGATAAATCAAATCGATTCTTAAACAATAAATAAACAAAATAAACAAGCCGGGAAGAAGGCATCAACTACATTCAGTGATAATCATCGAATAATTTTCAAATTATCAGTGAATAAATAGACATTAAACAATAAATTAATACGTTAAAATAATAATGAGTGAATAAAGTGAATAGAGTGAATAGAGTGAATAGAGTGAATAGAGAGATAGAGTGAATAAATAATAAGAGAAACCAAAGCCAAAAATCGAGTGATAATTGTTGTTACGGTTGTGAGAATATCTGCAAGACGGTTGGATGGGAATGGCAGATGGACAGTGAAGTGGTGAATAAGATTACATTTTTATTGTTGGGAGGGTTGGGAGTGTAGTGTTTTGAAGTGAGTTATTGGAATAAAAATGTGGTGAGAATTTGGGGCTGGAGGATCATGGCTTTTGAGCTCGACGGCAGTTTGAAGGAGTGGGCCAAAGATAAACCCCTCAGCATTCTCCAGCTGGATCCAGCTGACAGGGCAGTTCTTCGGATTGCCGGTGAGTTGCATTTTATTTATGAATTGTTTCGTCTTTGTACTCGGTTTTTTATCATTCCTGAGATCTACCACGAGTCTTCTGGGGGGTGTATGTCAATTTACGTAATTGGTAGGGAAAAATTTTTGTATGGAGATAAAAATTGTTGGTCGCACAGACTGCAATTCTTTTTTAGGTTCAAATCGGTATTTATTCGGTGAGGAATATTCTAGCGCTCGTTAAATTAATTTAACGATCTTGTTAATTTTTGTTGAGTTAATTTAATAGTAGTATTAGGATTGAATGAATGGTGAATTATTTGAGGTCGTGTGAAAATTCATCGACTGGGAAAATCCAGTTCTGAAAACATGAATATTTTATATTCATTGAGAATTTGTAGGGAATATTTTTTTTTTCCACTCGGTGTGTGTTATCTGCGAAAATGGAAGAATTTGTTGATTTGTTGAGGACACGATATTGGGAGTAGGTAGAAATTCCGGAAGTTATTAATCGAATTCGCTAGGCAGATGGTTCTTGAATTCCGCAAAAGTTCCCAGTATTCAGTACAAACAAGAGGGGATTTGTTTTTGTGTGTACATTCTCTCAGAATCTGAAGAGCTCTCACCGCGATTTATTGATTTTCTGTAATTCCCGGAAAAGGGGATA